TTCACCTTGACCCACGATCATGACGCTCATTGACCTGTGACGTCATCAGTGGACACAATCCACTTCCAAACCATTGGTTAGTTCCGTAAATTCTGTAAAAAAGCGCGGAATTCGCGACGCGAAATACTCGCGATTCGAATGTCTGGCCATCGGCCATCGGTCAAGCGAGCGATGCTTGACCCGTGCTCACCTCCACGCAAGGTGGCGTGACGGTCCAGAGCGCGACCGTGGCGACACCTACGAGGGAGCGAGTTTCTATCGAGCGAGTTTCTGTCCGAGTTCCGTCGCGACTTCCCATCCGTATCGGACACGTGGCGACCCCTATCCTCGCTCACGATAGAGGCGCCCTCTTGTGGCGACCCCTGGCAGCCGACTCCGACATCAATCCTCGCGGGACGAGTAACTACCGAGTTTTTCTTACGCGTTCAAAAAAACGCAAGCAGCCGACTCTTTCAGAAAAACTCCACGACGACGACGATGACGACGACGGCGACGATGACGACGACGACAATGACGACGACGACGATGGTCTCTGGCGTCCGTGCGGGACCGAGCGGGGCCCCCTGGCGGCGGACGACCGCGCCTCGCTTCACAGCGAGTGAGAGTTCGCCGAGTCACTCTCGCGACTTCGCGTCCGTATCGGGAAGTGAACGACGGCTACCGGCAGCGGCGCGTCGTCGGCGCCGACGCCCGCACGTCGGCACAGCGTCGATGGCAGCCGACGCAGCGCCTTGCGAAAGTTGGCGCCCGCGAGGCTGTACAGGAAGAAGTTGATGGAGAAGTTGGTGTAGTAGACGAGCTGAGCGTACTGCTGAGCGACCTCCAGCCGCTCTGTGGGCACGAACCCTGCATCTAGCAGGTGCACGACGAACACGTGCAGGCGGACGGCGTGGCTCGGCAGGTTCAGGGTAATGAAGACCGTCAAGACAAAGAGCAGCATCTTCTTGATGCGGATCTGGTATCAGTAACTGGTCGGCAGCGCGCCGTTCCGCAACGTCGCCCTGCCGCCCTGCAGGGGGTGCTGTTGCTGCTGCTGCTGCTGGTGCTGCTGCTGCTGCTGCTGCGACGCGCATGCGCCGGAGTGGAAGCTCGCGCACGTGCGCGTCGGCAGCGACGTGTGGGTAGAGGGCGCTCCGTTCGTCGGGAAGCCGCGCGCGACGACGTAGCGGGAGGTCGCCGGCGAGCCGACGGCGTCCGCGGACATCGCTGAGCGACGCTTGTAGAAGGCGACGACCTTCCGAGCGATTCACCGACCGAGCGAGTTGTCACCGTGTCAACGTTATTCAGCACGGTCATCGCCGGCAGGTAGCGCTCGTACAGCAGACACTGCGGCGGGTAGCCTCCGTCGGCGTCGCCATCAACGTCCACGATGCCAGCAACGACGAACGCGTAGCTGTAGACGACGAGGGCCGTGGCGACGAGGCCCGCTATCGTCATGTTGGCGCGTCGGGTCGTGCACATCGTCGGCCGGTGCAGCGGGTAGCAGACGGCGATGAAGCGCTCGACGGTGAAGGCGACGACGAACCAGACGGACAGGAAGCTGCAGACGAGCGTGCAGTAGACGACGAACTTGCAGCCGTCGTCGCGGTCCTACCAGCCGACGTCGAGGCTGTTCAGCCAGACGACGAACAGTATGAGCAGGAACCCGCTGTCGGCCGTCGCCAGAGCCGCTAGGTAGTATACGAGGACAAAACCTGGCGGAGCTTCGACGTCGAGAAGATTGGATGGGTCAGGCAGGGGTCAGGCAGGGGTCAGTGATGGGTCAGTGATGGGTCCGGGATACGCACGCACGCACACAATATTGCGAGAAAGAGAGTGAGAGAGACACACACACGTGCAGACATACAGAGAGAGTGAGAGAGACACAGAGACAGAGA